CCGCTTCAAAGGAACTCCCATTATTCTTACTTGCATTCTAACAACAAACATTTGAATTACACGTATATTGACAGGGTAGCCTTGATCAAAGTGATCCAGCCACGAAAGGACAGCTTTACTTCTAGGCTGCCAGTCATCTCTTAAATTTCTCTAGGAACCTGTCCCTGAAGGCTCTCTTTGGCTTCCCCAAATGCAACGGAAGGCTTGGGGTACCTGACAGGTAGTGTGTCTGTGCCACAACCTAGTCTTGCAGAAGTCTAAGGTGCTGTGGGGGGAGGGGGGGAACTCTGCTCCTCCCATAACCGTGGTCTTAGCCATGTTGACTTTGAGACCCATGGGGAACTCAAACCATCTGATAAACAGCGAAAGGCAGTTGACTTGGGAAGGGCGGGCACTGAAAAAGATGAAGTTATCATCTGCATATTGGAGGTGGTTAATGGTTACTCCTCTTATGGATGAGGGTTAATCTGAAGGGATGTGGTGATTATAGACGTTGGCAATGGAACAAAAAGGAATTGGGGGAACTCCATGAGGCAGTGGAATTGGGAAGGGAATGGGGGAACTCCATGATGGACCCTAGAGGGGAAGAAGTCATTGGGACTTCTATTGATAGCGATAGAAACATAGGCCAAAGAAATGCTCCCAGATATCCACGATCTCCATCTCTGCCGAAGCCCATAAATGCCATAGCCTGGTCTAGGATACGACAGTCGACATGATCATAAGCCTTCTTCAAAGTCCAGCTTCAGGATCAAGTCAGGACTTTTGAATTGAGTGCCTCGCTTGAATACACTCGGCAATCAAAGCCACATCAAGGATTTGCTGCCTTGACAAACGTGCCCTATGGCACTGAAATGACTTGGTTTAACCCTTGGCACAGGTGGGCAGCCAACCTCCATTGGCCAAAATTTTGTAGGAGCTATTAATGGGGCTCATAGATATACAGAGCACCTAGATCAGTGTTATGGTTCTAACTCTGGAGGTTATGGATGTGGCTTTTTTTGGAGGGGGGAGGATGGGGAACGAGGTAAACTGGCTTGAACATTGCAGTGGGTTTAGGCTCAGAGTTTGGAGGTTATGGATGAAGGTTTTGAGGGCTGAAAGGGTTTAAATTTATGGTGCCCGACTGAGAATAGGCCGGCAGGTTGTAATAAAGTGGAGTTTTGCCAAGTAATATGGGATTGGAGGGACCTTGCGCGGTTTCGAGATGGGCAGAAACTTTGGAGTTTCAGGGGTTGGAAGGACATGTATTACCCGTCGTTGCTGGAGGTGTATTTAGTGCTTTCTGGAAATTGGTTGGTTTTTAGAGAGAGAAATTGTGCAGAGTAGCGGTCAGCATTAGCAGACTTGGAGAAGAGAGGGGTTTTTCTAGAGGCAGTGGAATTGGGAGGGGGAAATAATTGGGATGGGTTGTTATGTGGCCGGGGGTGCTGGTTGATGGTGGCTACCTTCTCTCTCTGGTCTCCCCTGCATCGCCACCACTGCCTCTCCCTCACCTCCCTCTTCTCTCATTTCTCTTGCTCAAGGTCTAATCATGCAACCACATTGTTCTAGTCAATTTGAGATCTTTACATACCCCATTTCAGAAGTTATGGACAATCATATACAATTATAAAGTTCTCCCAATATGAAGTTTAGCAAGAGAAACAAGGAATCCTCAATGTTATGTCCATTGTCCATAACCTTCACAAAAGTTACTACAAAGATCAAATGTACAATAAAGTATTCTATAACCAAATCAAAACAAAAATGTTTTAGGATGATCATTTTGGCCCTAGACGTACTCATGCTGCTTATTATACGATACAACCATATAGTAATTCATTATACAAATATTCAAGCTGGAGACTCGGAATACGCACCATCCAACTTGATTCAGGCGAAACCTGAGCCTTGTTACCCGAAAAACACAGAAAAATAACAAGAAAGTTCGCCCGATCTCTTTTGTAGAACATAAGAAACTTAGCTGAGTCCAGAAGGGCTCTAGGAAGAGGAGGTCAGGGTGGGGGTGCCACAATGGGACATCTAGAATTCCATTCTCACCAGGTTCCAAGTAGCATCTTTTTTTTTTTTAAAAAAAAGGAAACAAAGTGTTTTATGAAACTCACCCATGAGGACCTTACTAAGCCTTCCTAGACTCGAAGACTCTGTAGACTTTTTCAGGATTTTACAAATGGCAAAAATAAAAATGCACTTAAATCTTTAATATTAGATTTGGAATTTGAAAGGTGCCAAAAATCGAATCGCATTTTATATATGAAAGGCGGCATGCTTGGCAAGGTGAACCCAGTAATGAAGTTGGGAAGGAAAGAAATTCATGATAGGGAGAGTCCAACATCTTTACTCTAAAGGTGGAAGAGAGGAGTTGCAGACAGGGCAAAGGTCCCATATGTAGAACTCCTTGCATACGAATACACAACATGCTGCTGGTTCGCAAGAAAAAAGCAGCTCTATTGGGCTTGGTGGAAACCTTAAAAAATTTATAGGGGTAAATGTGGTGAAGACATCAGATAACTATCAGGCTTTTCAGAGACTAGATTAAAAATCTAAATGTTTTGTTATGGTAAGCTTAGAAACTTAAAATTATGCAAGAGGACAGGAAGATTCTGAGTTTTATAAATGCAGAGAAATACAAGAGATTGGTGTTGGAAGTTGAGAAAGGTCACAAAGGAGGGAGTATTCCATTGGACAGGACAAGGCTAGAAAGGAAAAAATAAGGTAAAATGGAAGATTGCTATAACGACTTTAGGGAGGTCCAAGAAAGGTTAAAAATGAAGGTGGAGTGAAGCAATGACAATATCAGTTATGGAACAAGAAAGTAGCAAACTGAGAAAGATAAGGATGAAGGAAAGGGATGTGTGCTATTGCTAAGCTCATCTCCGGCGGTGAGCAATCAAGACAAGTGCAAGTGACCAGGTCAAGGTTGTCTAATGGCTCAAGTTCCAAGGGTGTAACCTAAGATGGAACATAGTAACTAACTCTCCCTAAAATGGTCACCCACATTTTTAAATCTAACTCAATACATCACACATTGTGTAGGTGTCATCAATAAAATAGCCCCAAGGGCAAGTCTGTGGAGATGCCACAGAAGAATGTAGAGATGGAATATTCTGTTAACAAACAAAACAAAAAGAAAAAAAATGTGAAGGAAGGGCCCGAAAAAGAAATGTTGACTGTAGAGGTGCCCAGTTGGTGACTACAGAACCCTTACACAATATAGGGAAGGTAAATTGGAAATTTTAGAATCTGAAAGGTAAATTTGCAGGGTAGAGAGCCGAGCAATAAGATGCAGGGTATAAAATAGGTGATAACTAAGGAATGCAGTACCATAATGAGCTCAAAAACAACGAAGAGGGACTCGACTGAGTGGAAAGGGGTGAAATGGCATCCAATACCATGATGACAATCATAAGGTCACACAAACAAGAAATCTGAAAGAGGAGGAGGCGGAGAGGCCCCTGAGGAGGGGGCGGGGGGGGGGGGGGGGGGGGTTGTAGTTGTTCGGATAGAGGGGAGCAAAAGAGGAAAAAGGTACTAATACATAAAGAGAAGTTTTATGCAAATGTCACACATTGAAATATTGGAGCTCGAGAGGAGTTTGATGTGAAGGGTAAGAACCAAAATGAAGGGTAGTAGGAGCAAATAGTGGTCAAGAAGACAAGGGATTAAAGAATTGTGAAAAGGACATTGACAGACTTCCGACCCTTTAAGATGATACAGCAACCAATCAACTCAAAATTGATAGTTATTGTGTTATACTCTGTTGTACTACCATCAATCAAAATAGGTCACATGTAAACAACTAATCAAGCAACAAAAGACAGATCTCCAAAGAAAATCTAAGAGTGCCGACTTGTGTTTTTGGGTGGCATTGTGGGGGGAGTGGGTGCTGTGCTGGAAGGATACGTAGAGTGGCAGTTAGTCAATGTACAGAAACTTTGATGTTCTCTTCCACTATTAGCTCTCTTTTATCTCAATTATTGTTATCTCCCCCTAATGCGTCCTGCCATATATACATGCAAATTGGATTAAAGAGTCTCAGATATGTAAATATAAGCACATGTAAGAAGCTTTTTCCTGATTTCTAAGGAATGGATCTAAAGTTCTCACAAATTTCAAAAGACATATAGGGCACCTATTAAGGGAAATAACAGAGGAGTGATTGTTTACCATAAATCCTCTGAGTTAGACAGAGACTACAGATGAGCATCAACATAACAGAGCGACATAAGGAACTGCCTATATTGTTTCTCTCTTTTTATTGAGAAGAGTTAATTGCGTAACTATTTAATGAGTTACTTAGTTTAATTTCTGGCCCGTATTCCTTTGCATTAGAGGGATTTCAACCCTAGACCTTTTTCTTTTAACCACCAGATGTTTCACCATTGGACCAAAGGTGAGACATAGCCTTCTTAGGCTTATGTACAGCTTTGATCCTTGGTAAAAAGGATAAAAAGTCAGAAATCTTTGCAAAAACTGCTTATAGACTTAACAATAGTTCTGTCTCTTTTAGTTATACTATGATATTGGGTCAGTCACCCCTAATGATAACAACTTGCAAATGCCTATTAAACAAAGGTATGGTTTTCTTGAACGATGAAAACTAGAAACTACTAATAGAGGAATCTCAAGCCAAATTCCTAATTCCAAGTTGAATTTGAAAAGCAGAGTTCACGAGCCCACCAAAATTGTGCATCACAATCAATTAAGCCAATTCTGGTTAAGTTAACCAGAATTGAAGGGTACAACTAGCTTCTTGTGGTGCTATAGATTATGATAATATCAGTCAGGAGAAAGGCAACTTCTAGCGCTTTACTATTTGATAAAAAATAATAATAAATCGAATTCAAATCAGATCATGAAGTTCTCAAAAGGTAATTGCCACACATTATATCAACCATCCGTTCCCCACCAACTCATTACGACCATCCTCTCAATCATAACGTCCAATAAAAGGTTTAGAAAGTGACAAAAAACAAGACAATGAAGGGAGTACAATCTCTTCATCAATCAGTGCCATTCATTTATTAATTGAGCATCATGAAGGAGAATAAACTGACATTTTACAAGTAGGAGATGCATTCCCAGGTTAACAGCGAACAGCCCAATGAACCCAAACTAGTGAATCATCACCAAACACAATGATAATGCACTGGTTTGGTGATAGCGCCCAAACTAGTGCATCATCACCAAACAAAATGATAATGCACTCGTTTGGTGATGATGCCCAAACTAGTGCATCATCACCAAACACAACAATAATGCACATCTATATACAGATTCCCCACAAACTCAAACATGCAAAAGAAACTTGAAGTACACAACAATGAAGAAGGAGAGAGAGAAAATCCCACAGGCATGTTGCCAAAAAAGAATCGCAGAGGCCTCACTCACTGCATAACCCCTCAAGCTTGCAATTGCACCCAATAAGATGGCACTTGGTGTGGTATAATGGAGAAGTAACACAAACTGATACATCTTGTCGCCATCAACCAAGAAACCCAACTTATCGGCAGCTAAAACCACCAAAATCCCCACAAATGGGAGCACCAAAAGCCTTGTAATAATAATCCCCAAAGTAGTTTTTAACCCAAGCTTCGATTCATTGGGCCCTTCAGCCATCATTCCCCCTAGAATCAGCATAACAGAAGGCACCATTGCACCAGCTAAAATTTCCAAGCTATCTGTAAAAAAAGATAGTGGTGCATCTTGTCCAAAGACAAAACTCTTCAACTGTGGAACCATTCCGACTATTACTCCCAATAAAGAAGCCAGAGTTGGAGGCTGGAGTACATGCCTAATTGGGGTTTCTTCTGCCACAATTCGGATTTTTCGCACTACCTTAGGCTCCGCGAAGCACCTGATAGACTTGTGGCTGGCTCTAGGGCTAGAATTAGGGCTTGAACCACCTTCATCCATCAAATTAAGATCCAAATCAGGAAAGCCACTATGCGAAACTCCTGATAAGCTCCCAAAAACCCTAGCAATGAAAGGCGTTTTCGAGTGTACAGTCTCCTTGTCCTCCATACCAGGCCACTCAGCCTCAACCAACAGCGGCTTGCTAAGGTTCCCCGTTTCAACAACCTCATGTTCAAGTTTATCTGAAACAATCTCATAGTACTCTAATGGTGGCTCCATCATATGATAAACCAGTGTATAAACAAGAAGCACTGCAACCCATTGAGCAAAGGAAACATAGGCCAAACCAGTTCGATGACAGTGCAGGCCAAATGGGTGATCTGAACTATGGCAAACTGAGCCAACAATGGCGACAGAGAGATTCCCTGTGTTACCAAACCCAGTCATAATTACAGTGAATCTGAAGAATTCAGGAGGCGGCTTACAAATTAGGGCCACACAGTACCCAAGAAGGCACCCGATCGATGTGGATAAGAGAACATTTACAGGAATAAACCACCATTGCCTAACGTTTTCTAGGGTTATGGAACTGCCCAAGTGAGTGAAGATCAGGCATGGCAAGAAGAGAACAAACACCAGTTTGCTAAGCAATTTGAATGTGGATTTGGTGAGAACCTGGAGATTGGGGTGAGCTAGGGTTAAACCTACTATGGTGAGGCATAGAAGCTTCATCAATGGCACCACCGCGCTAAGCAGGCTCTGGCTTTCGCTGGAAATCGGGTTCTTGGCCAAAATCTCCGCCATTTTTATCAGGGAAATGAAAATTTCACTGTTTTGAATAGAAGGAAACAAAGAGTTGGATTTATGACGAGAAGGACGTGAAAAAACGATCTAGGGTTTCTCAAATGCAAGAGCATAAGCTGGTCATCCGTTCGCGGGTAAAATCTCAGCCATTTTTGACGGAGAGAAGGTGTCACGAGATCAAATAAGTAACTGAGGATATTTCAAGAGATCAAATGAGTAAAAGAGGAGATTTCAAGATCGAAGATGATAATCGACGAGAAATTAGGGTTTCCTTTTGAGAATTAGGGCAATCGGCGCGTAGTCCCAGAGACTCTAGGGCATCCTCCCCATGCAAAGTTACAAACTCGTTCGTTAGTAAGAGAGACAAAAAAATCTTAAGAAGTAACTTCACAACATTGATCACATATTTTAAATGACAAATAATCCCAAGATTAACCCACAAAAAATTTTAGGTGGGTCTTGAAAATTTTTTATTTTAAACTGAGTTTGATCAATAAAATAAATAGAGCCACCCAATTTCATATCTGGTCTTCCTTTGTAACCACCTTATACTAAATATAATTCGAAGTATCACCCAATTACACATTCAATGTTCAAGATTAATTCTTTCCATAAAATAAAACGTCTCTCCCAATGTGAAAAGGCAACGTGTTTGTTATTCACCACTTTTTTCTCTCCCAATGCGAAGGCAATGCATTTGTTATTTACCACTTTTTTCTTTCCAGCCGTTTTCCATGTTAGAGTTTATGTCCTTAATAATTGGGTATTTTTAAGAGTGGACTCATAAAAATTATGTCATTTTAGGAAAATTTATACTTGATAAAACTATTTACTCAAGGACACAGATTCTATGAGTCCATTTAAAAATGAGTCGACTCTTAAAAATCTATAACATGGACATCATGAATATAAATAAATGGTAAGAAATAAAAATAATGATTTTATAAAAAAAAAAACATTTTGACCGTTAATTTCAATTGTTTTTACATGGACCACCTATTTGCATCTTTTTTAAAATGGATGCTTTATAGTTTATACCGTATGATTGCATATTTTAAAAATGTGGTCTAGCCCACATGAAACAATTTTCCTTCCTGAAATGAGTGATCCACCCCATTTTTCTCTTATTTCCATAACTCATTCCTTGAACTTCATAAGAGATTGTCAATAAAAAGTTTATTAAGATTCTTCAAATTAGAAAATTTTAAATAACTGTCATTGTCATTATCTTGAACACAACTCTACAGGAGGATCTGACAGTCCAAAAGTCGAATAGCTATGATCAATCTAAAAGATATTATTTTTTAGGCAGCTGTAGGGGAGGAATGACATTTATTTATTTATTATTTTTGGGTATTTTCAATAGTTTGAAGCATAGTTAGTAAATTAGGGAATAATAAAATATCAGCATACCAAAAAGTCAATAAAGTCGGAAAAAAAAATCGGTTCAAAAATACGAATTGCCAAAAAATAAGGTAAGTTATAGAATCGTGAATATTTAGGATTTGGTTCAAAAAATCGCAATGAAAAAAATAGGATATGTAAAGATGACACAATATAAAATTATGATTTGCAGCTATTGTATAGATATATTAATATCATTAAACATTTATTTTATAGTCTTCCTTGTATCATTAAAGTAATACTTGATAATTTTTTGCTGAAATTTCAATAAATACAGCAACAATGCTTACTCTGTTGTCATAACACAAAACATATTGTAGATTTATTGGAGCATAAAATGGAACAACAACAACAATTATAGGAACTAATTAGCAAATAATAAGAACTGTGAATCAAGGTATAGGATTCTTTTTCAAAGAAAAAAAATGGAAAACACCATCAATATAGGATTGCAATTAATTAAAACACAAACCCCAAATATGTAAAATAGTGGTCCATCCAAAATGCTATGCTGTATACACCAATGAAATAAAAAATAAAAAAATAATAAAAAAAGAAATTATTGAAACTTCTCTATGCATGTAAAAAACAACAAAATACTTAAGAAAATTCGAATCTCGCACTGAATTCCTTGCTACTAAATCTTCAGTATCATTGGATCTCTTTTGCTTTTTTATAAGGACACTTTGGGTTTAAAGAAAAAAAAACGATTTTTCATTGGGTTGCTCTTCTTCTAATTCTACCTATTATTTGGTGAGACAAGCAATTTGATTTTATTATTTTTTGGGGGACTATATTACTAGTATTTTTTCGTCCATATTTTTTAAGGGAACTCATTAATAAAAAATTTGTGGAATTTTTTTGTTAAATCAAGATTTTTAATGCACTCCCATTGTTAATGTACTTATCTTTAAACCAAAATTTAATACTATTACGTCAATGAAGAAACAAAGATATACGGAAGAAGTTTTTTTGGAAAGTTGTTTTTGAAAAAAGATAAAATATGGATTTATATCAGCTTCATTAAAAATACAATGTTTTGAAAAACTCTGAGTTCTAAATGGATTTAAAACTTTTTTAAATGGAGACTTGCTAATTATGTTCTGAAGAAGTAGCATCCCCAAAATTTGTAGTCCTAAAATTTCTTCTAGGATTTACTTAAGGGGAAATTAACCAAAGAACTCTGCCCAAGAGCATATAATTTGCCATTACGTAATTTTGAAATTTATTTATACTCCATCATATTATCTCTAATAAAATATGTTAATGTAATAAAGCTCCTACTGCAATTTGATACTAGGTTCTATCCAAATTTCTTACTTTTTGGCTATCTATCATGCTAAAAAGATACCTCCCCGTCAGGAGTTGCTAAAAAGAAGGAGCGGATGGTACCAAGGGTTTTGGTGGAGGAGCAGGGTTGCCAATAGTCGTGTTGGACTCTGTGGAAGGTATTGCCTTGGAGGATGTTCCTCAGCTTTCTGGAGGAGGAGAAGGTGAGGATAATCCCTTTTTTCAAGAATCTGATGTCGAGGGTCAGAGGTTGGAAGAGGCTGAATTCGTTCCACCTCTTAATGTGTTGCCTTCTGATGGTCACCTCTAAGTGTGTTGCCTTTTGATGACCATCATAAAGAGGTTTTACCTTGGTCCTCAAAGCTTTTGAGTTATGAAGTTGGAGATGTTCACTATGAAAATATGCTTTTTGATGTGGGGATAACTTATGCAACTGATTGAGAAGTTTAGAGCTATTTTCCTACTTAGACAATTGATTGAGAAGTTTAGAACGAAGATAAAAGATTTCCATATAGCTTTTATTAATCTAGAGAAGTTTATGATATAATTGTTAAGTATACTTCTATCACAAAAAAGACTATGAACATTGATCGAGTTATTAATGACTTATGCTTTGGCTTTGAAAAAGCATGAACACTTAGTCCCAATTATATGAAAATGGATTACAATGAAATATGAGATTTAATTTGGGTACACTCTAATAATAAGAAAATGGAAATATATTACCTGAGATTTACTTAAAACTCATCAAATCCATTAGGTGCACGGAAGGCTAAAAAAATCTATTACGCGCTGACAGGTAATCCATTGTGCCCGCGTCCTCTAATGAAAAGAAAGTCTATCTCCCACTATAAACTCTCTCTTTCTATCTCTTATTACCCTCTCTCTCTAAAATCCGATGTCCAAACACTGCTGCTCTTAACGCTGCCGCGAAATTAATTTTCCAGCGCTTTTTTCAGGCCGATTCAAGGTAAGACATTGATCCCTAATTTAAAATTTTTTTTTTAGAATTTGGTAATATTATTTGAAGGAATTCAGGTGAAGATTGGTCTTAGTCTTGATGATTTATTTTTCTTTTCTTTTTTGGAATTAGCAGTGAATATTGGATTCTCTTTCTATGTGAATTGGGAATATTGAATTCGGTTCAAGTTTTTATTGAAGAACATTTAGTTTTTTTAGGTTTTTCTTTTCTTTTTTGGAATTAGCAGTGAATATTGGATTCTCTTTCTATGTGAATTGGGAATATTGAATTCGGTTCAAGTTTTTATTGAAGAACATTTAGTTTTTTTAGGGGAATTTGGTGATGATCTTTTTAGTTATTTCTGTGAATTTATTTATTGGATTTAAGGGGTTTTGGGGGGTTTTATGAGTATGGGCGATTCTTTTATTTTTTATTGAGTTTCTTTTGATCATGTTTATAGTGAAAATACATATTTATTTATTATTTGTTTTCTGTTTTAAGCAATTGGGCTCGTATGAATTCTTTAAAAGAAAGAAAATTTTACTTTATTTGTTTTTATTAAATTGAATTTCTTATTTTTCATTTTCTATTAATTACAACAAATCTGAGTACATGGAATCTTCTATTACATTGAATAAAATCTGAGTACATGGAACCTTCTATTACATTGAATAATACCTTCTTTTTTTCTTTTTCTTTTTTCAATTTTTATGTTAATTTGGATTTCAGTTCTGGATATCTTTTTCTTCATGGTAAATTATGTTCTATTGCTAAATTTCTAAAATTTCTTTTATATTAATAATAAAAGATAATTATATCTCAGTAATTTATTCTAGCTAAATTCTGATCGGATATTGGGTTTCTACTGGATTTTTAAGCTTTTTTGTTGGCAGAGTCCAGGTTAAACACGGTTTGTTGTATTCCTAGTAAGTACTAACTTACTTTATTAATATAAGTGTCGGTAGGGCGAAGCGACACACGGGAGGTAGTG